TAGCTATCCAATTCCACACATTGATTACATGGTAGACGCTACATCGAGACATCAACTCATGAGTTTTTTGGACGCCTATTCTGGTTACAATCAAATTCCCATGCACCCTAATGATGCTGAACATACATCGTTCTACTCAGCCCGAGGTCTTTATTGCTATGTCATGATGACTTTTGGATTGAAGAATGCTGGGGCCACATACCAACGGTTGGTCAATAAGATGTTTGCTCGTTTGGTCGGTCATACAATGGAAGTTTACGTAGACGACATGCTGGTGAAATCGGAACAAGCCTCTGATCACATCGCTCATCTTTCTGAAGTCTTTGACATTCTCCGAGAATATTCCATGGTGCTTAATCCTAAGAAGTGCACCTTTGGAGTTGGATCGGGGAAATCCTTAGGATACATGGTAAGTCAGAGAGGAATCGAGGCCAATCCTGCCCAGATCCAAGCCATACTTGAATTGGCTCCCCCGACATCTATTAAAGGTGTCCAAGCTTTAACTGGTCAACTGGCAGCTCTAAACCGATTCATTTCAAAGTCGACGGATCATTGTAAGCCGTTCTTTGACGCTATCATAAAGAAGAAGCCGTTCGAATGGACCGTGGAATGTCATAATGCTTTTGACAACATTAAAGAAGTTCTTTCACGATTACCGACGTTGCAGAAACCTCTTCCTGATGAACCTTTGTATTTTTATTTGGGTGTAAGTGACATTGCTGTCAGTGCTGTTCTTATACGACAAGATGGACTTCAGCAGTTCCCGATATATTATGTTAGCAAGGCCTTACATGACGCTGAATTGCGATATCCGTATATGGAGAAGTTAGCCTTTGCTCTGATCATCGCTGCACGAAAGTTGCGCCCATATTTTCTGGAACATTCTATTATTGTGTTCACATCATATCCTCTCCGACAAGTCCTCCACCGACCTGACCATCGGGAAGAATGGTTAAGTAGGCAATAAAATTGGGACAGTTTGATATTCAGTACCGACCACGAACTGCCATCAAAGCCCAGGTGTTATCTGACTTCATAGCAGAGTTTACCCCAATTGTCAGCACATCTACTGAAGATCCGACATGGACTCTTTGTTGGTGTTATATACTTAAGCTTTGCTTTAGTGGATATTTCACTTGTTATTCCT